AATGATTTTGTTTCGTAACTAATGGAAAAAATTGTAGAAAATGTAGAAGAAGAATGGGATAAACCAATGTGGGCTTAACGTAATGAAGATTTCTCTGTAAAGGTGTTTGGCCTGGAACGTGGGCAGGTTTTTTGTAACAGAATTCTTAACTATTTAAATCCAGCCATGAAGACTGAGACAGTACCCTTCTCCGAAACGTTGGCTTCTACAAGCCAGTCTACATGGCGCCAGAACCCAAAATGACACTATCAACATCGTTACAGTAGTGAAAACCTAAAATCTCACATTTTTAAACCCAGATCGTACTCTTAACCATTCCGCAAAATTCATTCTCATTCACCATCTTTATCCTCCTCGGTCTTCCGTGTGGTATTTCCTCACCTAATTCTGTGTACAGTTCTTCGTTCATTGATTCGAGTAGGTCGCAATTCGTGACCACGTCTCTCTAGCTGACTAGTCTGTAAACTATGGATTTAAATTAAGCAGCAACATTCTGACGTAATAAATTTAATATCGCAGCAGTTAGTTCCGTAGACAGGTTGAAGGTAAACCAATGTGATAACTATCGACACATTGGTTGTACAGTTAATATTTATGAACTGTATGACATGGTTCAACAACACTGTTAACAAACAGCTGTCTGAGACTATTTCTCTAGAAAGCAGATACAAAATACAGAAAATCAGTCCATTAGCTACAAAAATCAGTATAACCTATGTATTGTTTCAAACAGTTTATTGGCAGAAAGCAAAACTTTCCGACCTTTAAAAGCCATTCCACGATTCTAAATCAATGGAAAGGCGTAGAAGAATAATCACGGATCGTATTTATCTGAAACGTAATTTCACATCGTTACTGGTTGGTCAACATCAACTGATATTCGACACAAATCCTTCATCTGAGTAATAAACAAAGTTTCCGTTTTACATAGAAAATTTAAGAAAACTAAACCAAGGTAAGAATCGGGACTTATACACTGGTAATCAGTGAGGAAGATAAATAAACTGTCGTGCGAATAACGAGGCAACACACAGAATAATTAGTCTGCAGAATGTAAGTCCTTTGTATGTCACGGCTGTAAGTCGATTACATTCCTGTATTATACCAAAATTCAGTAGTTGACGACTCGTGATAAACATAATTAATCAGGTTATATTCCGTCTACAAAACACTTTCCTTCTGTCTTCTTTATTCGCTTTGTTTTTCGGCGCTCACTGTTGAAGTGTTCCTTGTGCGAGTAGAAACAGCTCAAAACACACCCAGTGTTAAGTTTCTAACGGCATTTCATTTCACTGATTGGTAGCATCAACCACTCATCCAAGCTATCAACTTCCTTTTGACATTTCTCACAAACGAGACGAGAAAACTCTTGTGCTGACAAAGAAGCACTTACGACCGACGGCGAGGATACATGGTTCAGAAGGAGAATAACAGTTGAATTTCGGACTGATATATCATTTTATAAAATTGTTGTGATTTTCTTCAGTCCCTCCAGGCAATTAACGGAAGTTCACTTAAAATGACCACGTGAAATATCCTTATATATATTTATCTGGTAGAATAATTAACCTCCATACTTGAAAAAGTATGATTAGATATTTCATAACTTACACATCTGGTTCAGCGTTATTACATTAATGAAGGGTAAAGGAGGTCAGTAAGAAATACATTTAAAGAGAAAAAATGTATGCAAAGTCAAGAACTGACAAAAAGAAATGTCTTTCACCGTCACGAATTCGGTACAAATGTAATGCACTTTAAATTATTTTTTGTGATTTACACCACAGAGCACGAGATGTGTTAAACCGGTGTACAATAACCGAGTTCTCTGCCTTCCTGTATTGTCTGTTAATGGCACGGCTTTGCTCCCCGCGTGGTCAGTGGTGTCGCATTTACCACCCTCTGGGTCCACCATTTGACTTCCCACTATCACGGTTTATTAAGCGTTAAGACAGATAATCTACTGGAATATGTGCTATAAAAGTTGTATGCAATAATCTGAAGAAAATAAATGTACCTCTGTCAAAGCTGTAGCGAGTAAGATAAACTGTCTTTTAATATCAATTACTTTGTAATACTTTTGATATGACTGCGTTCTTTAATAACAGTTGGGAAGTATATTTGTACGACCTCAGACAGATCGTTACACCCCTGAGAGTCAAATTGACTGTAGAAAACCGTACGTATTTCATATTTGATTTAACAGTAATGAATGTGAGCGACAAATCTAATCTGTTACTCCAGAATATAGTAATTTGTAACTACTTTTAAGCCAATTTTTATTTCGCCGACTTCAAGAGTACTTCAAGACTTCAAGACTGAGAAACATAATACGTAATCTTGTTTCGTTTATCACTTGAGAAACATAAAAACGAATTCAATATATTTTTATTGTAATTATTCTGTGACAAATTCCGACTCCGATCTTGAATTCCTCTAACAGACGAGGTTCTAAGAAGCTGGGATGTCTCAAACATGGAATAAATCCACTTACGCCCGTTTTCTGCAAATTATAACAAAACGTGAGTTCAAATATCCATTCCTAAGGTAGTATTCGAATCTGGGACCACATGACTCGACGTACATACAATAAAGACTATATTTCACATATTACATGTTAATTATATTTTGAAATTTAAGACGTAAGTTGTTTTACAGTTAATGAAGAAAATAACTACGTATTTGAGGTTGTTCTTTTTACCCATTACGGATAGAAATTTCTATCCTATTTTATTTCTAACTCAAAAAATAGTATTTAAAAGAGTGAATAATAACTTAAGTAGGTATGTAAAGATTGATTAATTTTTCATATTCTGAAATTTATCTTATACTATTATACTTTATGTATAAACACATTCGGGTATTCTTCAGCAACCTAATGTTATGACATGTTTCAGAAAATGGAGAATATTAATTGGATTATCACATTTTGTTAAGAAACTTCCGATAAAGTAATATGTTGCATCTGACTCGCAGAATGCAAGTAAAAGTCACATTCATGTAGATGAAGACATTCCCTTAGCCCACGAAGGCGAATAAATCCCTAGTCTCGCTCTTTGCATTTGAATTGCATATGACACAAACAAATTGTCAGGTCACTGCATCGCCATGAATTCAGCCAATCATTGTAACTGACATTATTTTCTAATTTCTGTGTTGTACAGGTCTGTCACTCCATTCCTCAGTAAATACGGTAATGTTACAGGTTTTGGTACAGTCAACTTAATGATAGTTATTTATTGATTTTAAGGCTGTTGTAAGACAGTTTGAAACATTTTCCATAAGCACAATACAATAATAGGATGATATGTATTTATCTGATGTAGATATATCAATTTTTCTTGTGTGTGAATGAATCATCGTCTAGTTTCTTTGATTATATACTATAAGGTCATCATGCCAGAAGAGCATATCAATATATAAGCAGATTCGAAGTTATTTGGCTTAAAACATAAAATAGCGGATGTATTTCATAACATAGGAGCATAACACTGACTCTTCTCTACACATAAATACAATCACACTTTGACGTATATACACTTTTATACATATTAGTCAAAACAAATAAGGGGAATAATTTATTCTCCTCTAATCACCTATTTTTTGTACACCCTTCTGGAATGATACCCTCGATTTTAAATACAAATTGAGTGCTTTATGTTTCGCAGATGTTATTTAAAATAAACTGCATTTACAATAGCAATGAGAATCCCTTGTTGTTAAGAAACTCTGTTGTTGACGAAAACAAATGCACACATTAATGGGCACATTAAACACATAATTGTTGATATTGGTACCTGTCTTCTACTTTAGCTTTACATAACAACTGGGCATATATGAAATTCTAAAGAATTAAACTAGACTACTGATACAACATAGACCTCAAACACATCTGCAGAAGAAATCCTAACTCGATCTTCTCATGTTTCTGAAGCATGAGGGACAAACCAGTTTTCAATCACTTTAAACTAATGAACTGCGACTTAACAGCCCTCTTATGGGTGTTTAATTAGGTACACACCAATGATCGTCAATTGCACTTGTCGAATTACACTGGCCAGAGTACCTAATGGGAGCTGGCGGACGGATATATTTTCTGTCACGTGAGATAGCAAGGAGAGGCTATTTATTATGTTTCGTCCATCAAACTGAGAATGTCCCCTGTGCAGAACGATTCCTTATCGATTCTGTCAGCAGCAAATAACAAGTAGACTAGAGTCTGGCGAGCTGAGTGAATTTATGTCTAGTCAATTATGCCACCGATACTTTAAAAAACTGATTCCTCAGCGAAAAGAGGACAGACGCATTGAACTGTTCTCAGTGTTTACAATTTCATGAAGAATATGTAAGACACAGGATTAATTTTAATGGCTGTAGCACTCGCTTAAGAAGCTCGGACTTCCGTGGAAGAATCCGATAAGAAAAATGTTACGGTGGTCCTGATCCAAAAATCATAACATGGTTCCATTTCCAACGCACCCGTTATTTTCAGTTGTGATTATTGTGATATCAAACTGAAATTTCTGTCTAAATAACAGTTTTTAAAAATTATCAAAACCTACTAAGGAAGAATACATGTCCAGTTTTCTTTACGTGAACTTTACGTGCTGGAGGCCGAAAAAATTAAATAACCTCTTTGTCTTCTATGTCACTTTAAAATTTAAGTTTGCTGCAAAATTGAGAAAAAATACTTAGTTATTTTCTTAATTTCAAGCAAAACTTGATTACGTAACTGTGCCATGTCTACTAATAACAAATCTTCTTGGGCCTGTAATTTACGAACTGCTGGTACACTTTTTCGTAGACAACAAACTTCAACTAGATTCGTAAGAAATATTTATCACAAGCAAACGTTCTCTAGACTACACAATGACATAATCATTATTTGCAACTTCCATTTAACAAAGCATAATTGTTGCTAAAATGTTAATCGTTTTCGATAACGCCGTTGACTGACACAAAGAGGTGCCTAAAGAAAATAATGTCCCGTTTTGACTTACCGGTGATGTCTGTGGTGACCGGGCAAATGAAGACACCGAGTAGGGGCAGTGCGATGAATAGGTTGCCGTAAAGGCGAGGTCTGCGATTACACGCGTCTCCCATGTGTACTTTGCGCTTACCAAGGGCGCGTGCCACATCACGACTGGCGAGCTCAACCCATCTCACTAACCTATATCCCGCATGGTCCCTCTGCCACGCCGGCGCTCTGAGACGGCTGACGTCCTTACCAAGATGCGGCTGTAACAAATAACATTGGACCCCATTTGACTCAAAGGCACGGGTGCACTTGATCTTCTAGTTGCCAGAAGGTAGTCAGTTCTTGAAATGAAATTGTAATGATGAAGAAAAGAAGTAGACACTCCGGTCATTTAGAGTAGAGTGTAAAGACTTGCAGATGGAGAGAATACAGTGAGAAATAAAAAGGAAGAGAGGGGAATAAAAGACGAAAGAGAGAGTTCGCAAGAAGGAAGAAAATAAAGTAACAACAAAACAAAATCTGAATAAATATTTGTCACTCTACTATGACTAAATTCGGTGCCGACAAAGACCAGTTGTTATCTATAAGAGATCATTGATATCAGTGTCTCTAATAAATAGAATTGTACGAATGTTAGTTACATTTTTTGCCACAAAACCATTCGCCTTGGTTGCCGTAAACTTAGACAAAAAATAAAAAAGGGTTGAGTAAAATTTGAAGTTTTCACGGCGGTGAGTCCGAAAATGGCTGTAGTCTGGTAGACGTTTACCAACCTTTCAGAGGTCCTCGCTGCCTCCCTCATCAGGAGGATGAATAAAGAAGTGTTGTTAGCCTTGCTTTTTAAAAAATTGTTCCTGGCAACTTTTTGTAACTTTTTTAGCATTTATTTGGTTTGATTCCTTGAGTGTGGGTCGGCCCGTCACAAAACCTATGTAAACATAGGACAACCAACACAAAAATACAAGGACAAACATTCATTCCCGAGTGAGGAAGGGCTTTTCTATCAGTTTTTATTATTTTTTTACGCTTACAGAGACTAACGAGTACCGTATTACATTTTTCGATATTCCCTCCTGGTATTTTAAATTTATCTCGTATTCAGACACATGTGTTATTAATCAACGTGAGACGTCAGTAAAGTCACAAGCACTGAAAGAAACTTCCGATAGTTTTGATATATTATACTTCTACAGATTCAGTGACGTATTATCAAGAATTCTGTGGATAGTGTTACATTATATAGTGAATTTTACATTTGAATGTGCTACAAAGGTCGATATTTCGAATGTATTAGATAATCTTAGGGTTTCAATTTTTTTAATAATTTCTGCTAATAGCAGAATTTAATGTTTTAGTTATTTTCCGAGAATGGACTATGTAAAATGTTTTAAAATGCATTCACTTTTGCTCTCGGCCGAGTAAAGTCTGTTAGTTACTTAATATGGTGTAATAAGGGACAGTGATGCATTACGAAGTCTCGTACACACACGTTATCCTTAACCCGTTTGTTTTCAAATGAGGCCCTGGTGACCAAGTCATCAGATTCTATACTGTAACAAGTAAATACTCATAAGCTTATCTAAAGCTCCGAAGACAATATTTCTAACATCAGTCTACTCATCCATAGTAATCAGTTAGTTGTAATTACAAATTATACGTAGGTTTTATAGAGTAAACCTGACAGACCCATAGAAAGTCAACCTTAAAAACTTTCAAAGATCCAATTTTTCTACATTTCCTGTAATTCTGTATTTTAAAGCAAAAGGAAAATAATTATTTGGATCTTTTATTTATGTTTTATTATTTTCCTTCGCAGGGAAATATAAATGTCACGTAGTTCTGTTCGGGGTGATATTTTTGTTATAAAAACATGTAAATCTGTTCGCTGCAAAATTAAATTGAGTAATAATAAGACAGGAACACATTTATAAACACGATAAAACCAATTTTTAATGTTAACTTTAATAGAATGCCTTACGTACGGTAGTACCGATTCACTTGAATATTCAAACGAAATCAATTTGGGAATAATTGGTGTTCTTAGGTGGTAAGACGATGGCTGTCTTCTAAGATGTTGAGGCAAGTAGACTGGTAGGCCCAACATTCTATATGAGAGTCATCTTCACATTCGTCGCCGTGAAAATGAAAGTTCGCCTTTGTTATGCCTTTGTTCTTAATATTAATCCAAATTTTATTATCATCGTTAAAATATTTTAACAAAATAACAGCCTCATATATTCCTTCCGACCAGATGACCCTTGCGAGTCGCAGTCTCCTCTAGCATCAAAGATCATAATATATTTATTTTTTCACTTTTAACTGTAAACATATTTGAAATTTTTACACTTGACTAAGACTGCGTTTAGAAAATAACACTCTATAGGTCTCTTTACAGTTAATCAACAAAGTTTGATTTTCATTGTTTCACAATAAATTCAATTATTTTATGAAATTCAAAGTTTCACAGCAGTACTCAGAAAAGTATGCCACTTGGTTACATAACCTTTTTCGTAAGGTTTTATTAATAACTTATATATGTAACAAAAGTAAAAAGTTTGGTTAATTTATTCTGGATATTCATTTTAAGTTGTGTGATAGTCATGACTAAGCAGCAGATTATCATAATCTCGGTCCCAAGTTTGGGGCTTCATTTCTGACTGGAATTTGGCTGGTCTCGGAATAAACTTTTTTGTATTTTAAAGGGAAGTTAAACTTCCTCTTTCTAGACAAACTGCTTCGCGTTTACCGTTTCAAAATTCCACATTTTCTGACCACTCTCAAGGCGATGAGTGATTGCTCTAATGATGGAAGCAGTGAGCACTTCTGAAACGTCGGTAAATATTTTATCAGAGTACACGACTCAACGTCCAGAAGAAAGTCATCTTTATATTCGCAGCCCTGAGAACCTTAAATCTCATATTTTCTGGGTTTTAAGCATTTAAATATATATTAAAATAAAAATAAGCATACAAACAAAACTGTTTACAATATAAAGAACGCTAATGCCAAATGCGTTTCGACTTCAAGAGGTCATCATCAATGGCAAAAAGGGGTACATCACGGTATGCAAGGTTTTAAGATTTAAATAAATGTTTATTTTATTATCATCTTTGTGACATCGGCCAGTTTACATCACTGTATAATCTAATTCTTTCAGAAACAGGTAGGACCGTTTAGTAGTGCATCATTAAATACATGTCATTGCCTAAATAAAATGCGTACACGTGTGACAGGCATTCTGATACAAGTCCCTGATACTGACAGTTAACAGAAACCATCGTTCCATTACCCTTTGTGTTGAAAGATACAGTTGGATGTGCTTCATCATTGAACCTCTAATTAATCCATCCCTTTTATTACCGGATTAACATAATATTCTGCAGGTAATCAGAATATATACACACTTCATCATAGCAAATACAAAATAACTTCCATTTAACAAAATCGTAAAATCTTTCCCTTGATTACATTACATTCAACACTAGTTTCTAATCAGATCCACACATTACACACGAGTATTCAGTGGATTGTGAATGTGTTATTTAGTGCGGTCATATTCGTCAACTGCCCAGATTAATTTGAAGTGAGGAAGAGAAACGCTTTGTATATCCATGGATTACAGTCAATTAATTTGTTCTACAGGGTGTATCATAATGAATTTATAAAGTCATATTGACTTCTCATCTGCTAGCAATGTACTGCTGTGAGCAGTCCGTAAAAAATTATTCTGTATTCTAATTTACAATGTAAACTTTACGGACATGTACAAATAACAAAATATTACGTACTGAGATTATTAAAAGAGTTCCGTTACGGACATAAATAAATCATAGTCACGTATATAATGTGGAAAGAAGCAGTCGTGGCCTAATAAGAGGTACTATCCCAGCACCTCACTGGAGGAACTGAGTAAAATCAAGGAAAATCTCAACCAATATATCTCCAGGCCAATATCTGAACCGTGGAGAAGGATTTAGAAGCATACGACCACAACCAGCCACGATGTTATCCTTTTATTGACTTGTATAACTTCAGGTTTAAATGTGAGAATAAAATTAATTAAATATAATTGGAAATAGGGAAGCGTGAAATACATTTACAGAAAGATTTGAGGCTTTTACGGCGGTTACGAAAATGGTTATGTTCTTATGCCCCATCATCACCCCTGAAGATGGAGACAGTACATTTCTCCGGTTTTGGCACCCATCGATCACTCCAGAGGGCGCCAAAACCCATAAAATATTGTACTGTTAGAAAACAGCGTCACTAGAGTTAGTTGTGTGGGAGATAAAGACCACAAAATTCGGTGTTAGACAGACGCAGTCTTCTGAACAGAGAATTCAATTAGTAAATGAATGATTGATTATTCTTTCATTAGGTTCCTTAAGACAGAAACACAGCAAATAACAGCACTGCGTATGTACCTGTGACGTACCATTTTGAACAGTTACAAATTCTACATTAACTAAACTAAAGAAGTGATAAGACAAACAAAATTACTTTATAGTATTCTAGAGGTTCCGTGTTTTATCCTCAGTCCAGAGGCAGTGCATTGTTACTAAACGTTATATGTTTCTTTAGCCCCTGCAGATATATCCTAGGATAGTTATATAAACATATCACGACAGCTACGTGTGAGACCATCGAACATTGCGATGTGTTTATGCACTTACAGTTGTAACAGATTTAAGTTAAGTGTAACAGTACGTACAACATTAAATTTCTTATTTATTGCATAATATGAATATTTCATTCTACGCTAAGCAATTTACGATAAGGAAGACAGAAAAATTATGTCAGACAATTACGGTAGAAAATTATGTAAAATACACTTCACCGTCAGTTAGGTTCACTAAGCTTTAACTCCAAACTCCCTTTTATTCTTGTACCCCATTATAGTCATAATTCTGTTTTGAGAAGCAAATTTTCTGAACCTCTTTACTTTTAATATGCAGGCCTATTCATTATCCATAAAACGTCTATTATGTAAAGGTAAAACGTTATGACAATTTCTATTGTTATTCGTACTATGAAGACGACAACATAGACTGCAGGAGATTCAAATAAACATTAATGACAACTAACATTCTGCTGGCACAACCAGTGACAATATTGACGAGCCAATTAAAAACAAAAAAAAATGGCAATTACCTTGGTATTCGCTTTGTGATAATTCAATCGCTGTGAACTGGAAATATCACTGCTGTTTCAATGTTCAAATTGTCTAATTGCATTGCAACATTGTAGATAAAACGGGACT